GTGGTAACCTTGCTCTGAGTCATTAAATTCAAGATTAGAGTGCATTGAGGTGGTCAAAGGAAAGGAAGAACACTCTCGCTGTCCAATTGATTTTGGTCTCCACTCAGGAGATAAACTTGTTTTCCCATAATCAACCCGTGGGATAATATTTTTACATGCTACATCCATATCATGCACTTTCACCCCTGGAAATGGAATACATACGAGTTGGGTGCTTGGCAATTGTAGTTTAGATTGACCCGCTACTAGAGTTGGCAGATTCACCCTGCGATATCTCTGTGTAATGGCAAGAGATTGGAAAGTATCGCTGTTACATTCCAGGTTTTGTCCAGGTTTACTGTCACCCTCTTTCATTGCAGCTTGATTGTCAGCAAGTGTTGGGAAAATAGGCTGTAACGACTTGCTATTTTTATACCTGCAAAAAGAAATTGCTAATCAGCAGAAAACCACGCAATAACATTTCCTGAAATAGAGATTACACGGCCTTCTTTCAAATTTAATGAATCGTGTAAAGAGATAATATGTAGCATATATAGATATCAGGCTCAATTATACTCTAAATAAAAGAATGTACACAAAAGTTTACCTTGAAAAAGCCGATGCATCACAATGGTTTAGCATATGCCTTTCGGTAGCAACTTCATTCTTCGCCTTACTAAAATAAGTTCTCAAACATAGCTCCAACTGTGGAGAACATCCGACCTGGCCCGCACGATCACTTAAATGATAAAGTGCAATGGTGCCCCTTGGCTGATTAGTAAACGAACCAATTAAGTCAATAGCCCCAGTGGGAGGTTCATCTAGTTCATCATTGCAGCCAACTCTAACCATAACGTTGACATTTCCGCTATTACTTTGAAGTTCAGCAGCGTCATTCCGAACCATCCCTTTAACAAAACAAGGGTTTTCTTCCACTTTTGATGCATTTAGTTCACAAGCGTCACTGCAGTGAGCAACCTCCTTTACTAATCTATTCAAAATTTCTGGAAAAATGGCTTGTCAGAATTTTCTTTCTTTTAGCTGAAATCCAAAAGGAATTCTGAATTTTTTCCAGAACTTTCCTTCTTTCAGCAAAATCTAAGATCTTAAAATAGGGTAAAATGGATATATATATATACCTTCAGCTTGACCCTCATTTTGAATCGACGCCTGACCCAGTTTGACAACATTTCCTTGGTCTCTACCAAAACCGCTAAGGTTGCCATTCATACGCTTTGACTTTGAGAAACACTGCACATTTTTTATGTAGGTACGCTTAGCTTCCAAGGTGTTATACAAGAGCTCTGCACAATAGGTGGCAAAACACGCAGTCTCTACGTGAAACTCAAAGCCAACCTAATCCGGAAAATTGTTTTTCCTCACATATGCATTGCATCGTGGACCAGAGACTGTACATAGATTGCAATAATACGGTCCGATATAAAAACGAACAAATCTCAATGGTACTAGCATGTTTTAATGCAAAACACTTATCAAGTTATACATCCATTGGTAATAGAACGTTGAAGAACACTATCTCATGTTTGATGGAATAGAATGCGTGGTATAAGTATATGAAACCAAAGCCCTAATTAAACCTTCATCGAAAGATAAGAAAATGCTCACTTGGGTATCATTTGCTTCGTTATATATGTGCTTTCTTTTTTGCTACGAAAGGAAAGGCTCAATTATATGTGTGCTATATTAATTGTTCGTGTGCTAGTATATTTGTTGTTGAACAGAAAAAAGAATGCCTTTGGGATATGTGGAAAATATAAGATCCAGAGAATAGATTGTAAGTCATTCTGACCATGGAGTTCTGCTAAATTTGTCCATCTCAACTATGGTTTGGCGTTCCATGTAAAATATAGACCTTCATAAACTCCTCAAAGAAGAATGCAAAAGCCTATACTCTTCCAGAATCTCGATATTCATTGACGTCTGAATATATTGTTAAGCTTTTTTGACCCATCTCATTCTCAATGGCAACCAATTCTTTGAGTAAGGTTCGAGGAAAGAGCACGTCTTGCTTCTATAGTCAACCCACAACCACCCAACGGTCTTTTTTATATGTCAAATGAATGCTTGCTATTTTTTTTGGGTAAACTACGTATTTAATACTTAAATTATCAATTTTAATTCGTTTTAGTATTTAGACTTTTTATTTTTTAAAAATAATACCTAACTTTTAGTTTTTGTTTCATTTTAGTACCCCGGCCGTTAAAAATTTAATGGACGAGCTCGCTGGCAGTCAACAGTTGTCAGTTGTCGCATTCATCGGCCGATGAAACCCAAAGTTTTCAGCCGACATCTTTTCGACCCCCTAAATGCGATTCCAACCTCTGTTTCCCTGGGAAACGATTCAAATCTCCCCAAATCAACAATGGACTCTTCGACTTCTCCATCCTCCAATCTTCATCGCTAATCGTTCAGATTGGTCGTCCGTCCACTGGAGCTATGCCCCATTAATCCATTTGTTAAGTTTTCAATGATGGAGTACTGAAATGAAACAAAAACTAAACTTTAAGTATGATTTTGAAAATGTTAAAAAATTTAGTGCTAAAACAGATCAAATAAGATAGTTTAAGTACTAAATGTAGTCTACCGTATTTTTTTCTTAACTCTATGGCTTTCTATTTTTGTTTTAACTGTTTAATAAACTTCTTGGGACATATACAACAACAACAAAACCCAATTCTCATATGCAATGGGGTAAGGGGGAGGTAGGGTAGTAGGCTGCCCCCAACGCCAGGTTGAGAGTAGCTTCCGTGGAAGACCTCCGGCAGTCAGAAAATTAAAAATATAGATAAAATGCAATGCATGTATAAATAAATACATAAATACATAGTTGAACAGTATTTATATGCAGTCATTAATATCATATGCGTGTCTGTAATGGGAAGTAATCCCTGCAAATAAATCCCTGCGAAAAAAAATCTCTGCATATAGACAGAAACGTAAGACCCGACTAAATTTAAAAGAGGAAACATGAAGAGAATGATACACAGAAGTCAACGATAGCAAGCACAGTTCTAAGCTTTCTTAAATACCAATAACAGAAACGTATAAAAAGTAGAAGTCATGAGAATTACTACAAAGGCATTAAAAGAAGACAGAGATGATACACCCTATAGATGTGACCCACACTACTCGACTACCATAGTCTTAAGTCTCCATACTTTCCTATCAGAGGTCATGTCCTTGATAAGGGCTAAATCCATCAAATCAGATCTCAAGCAGTCTTCCCACTTCCGCCTTGGTCGTCCTCTCCTTCTGGCACCGTCGACTGTAATCGACTCTACCCTCCTGACCGCATCCGACGGTAGTCGCCTAAGGACATGCCCAAACCACCGTAGTCTTTCCTCCCTCAATTTTTCGGAAACAGACACCACCCCCAAGGACATCCTAATAGCAGAGTTTGTTGTCATATCCCACAGAGTGCTACCACATGACCACAGAGTTTGTTGTCATATCCTAATAGCTGGTCTTATTGCCATTCTATAAAATTTTCCCTTAAGTTTTAGAGGCACCTTCTTATCACACAAAACTCCAGTAGCGGCCCTCCACTTTAGCCATCCCGCCTTTATACGGTGTGTAACGTCATCATCTACACCCCCATCTTTATGTATCATAGACCCTAGGTACTTGAAACAATCCTTTGAGGGGAGAACGTGTCCTTCTATGCATATTTCTACATCTTCATCGTTTTGGTTCCCACTGAAGTTTGAACATAAATACTCTGTCTTTTCAATATTGATCCTTAGACCTTTTTCTTCCAAAGCAGTCTTCCAGGTAGCTAGTCTACAATTCAACTCAGATTTTGTTTCAGCAACTAGGACAATGTCGTCAGCGAAAAGCATACACCATGGTACACCGTCTGGTGTCGCACAATAGAAGTCGTCCATAATCAAGGCGAAGATGTAAGGGCTAAGGGCCGACCCCTGGTGGAGTCCGATTTCCACCGGGAATGCCTCGGTGTCGCCAACTGTAGTCCTGACGTATGTAGTAGATCTACAGTACATATCACGAATCGCCCGGATATAAGCAGTTGGGATCCATCTCGTTTCCAAAGTCTTCCAGATCGTATCGCGGGGCACACTATCATAAGCCTTCTCAAGGTCAATGAACGCCATGTGAAGATCTCTAGACGTTTCCCTATATTTCTCCATAAGCCGTCGAAGTAAATGAATCACCTTCGTGGTAGATCTGCCTGGCATAAAGCCAAATTGGTTTTCCGAAACCCTAGTAACTTATCTCAACCTAGCCTCTATCACCCTTTCCCATAACTTCATGGTATGGTTGAATAATTTAATACCTCTGTAGTTACCACAACGTTGGGGATCTCCTTTATTCTTTTAGATTGATATCACCGTAGACTCTCTACACTCCTCTGGCATCTTAATAATCTTTAAAATAATATTAAAGATCTTGGGACATATACGATGTAGTGAAAAGTAGTGGAAAATATTTCATTTACTGATTATTGTTGTTTATGATCGTCTTTTCAGTCATTACTGTATTCGCCCTTGATTTTGATAGTCGGTGAGAAAAATCATTTGAATATTTGATATTTATAATTCTATTTAAATTTGTTCGGATCAGGTTAGGACCTAAAATGAAGGTATAGTGGGCTCATGAGAAAGGCGTGCCGACTGAAGAATTAAACAAAAGATTTCCTAATTACTTGTGCAAATTGTGGGATTTTATTATTTTTCAAAAATTAAAGTTGCTATCGTCACCACTTCTAAAAAGCTCAAGTAATTTGCCTGAAAAAAAGTAGGTAAACAAGAAATGAAAATGCTACCGACTTTGACCCAACATAATTTATTAACATTTGTAGGATGCAAAATCTTTAACAACACATTTGAACTTGTCAGTCTTACAGGTATCTTAAGAGGACTATAAAATTACTCTACAGTTCCCATGCAAATGCCAAGACAAGTAACAGGTAAATCTAGGGAAACCTAATTCCATGGCAATTTATAAAACAAAAAACCAAAATATGAAAATGACAGGAAATAGGGCCATCCAACCTTTTGGGGTTTTCCATTCAAAGCATTTGTTCCAGTAACAAATGGAGATTATATCATGAATTCAAAATTTTAGAAAACAGACAACCTAAACATGACATAAGAAACACCAAGAACAAGTACCCAACATGCCAGTAAGAAGTGTACATAAATAGATTGATCTCTGTCCTACTTTGGAAAGGCTTACACATGTGCAGTGCCTTGGGTGAACTTTGGGTCCTCACATCGGTATCGGCCATCAGGTCCAATTCCAAAACCTTTTGGATCTGCAAACACATTTTCGAGTAGCTGGCTACGAGGTGGAACCGGGCTTTCATCTGCAAACTCAACAGCATCCTCGACCACCTCATCTATCTTCTTGTCAATGGCCTTTAACTCGGCTTCACTGGCCAGATTGTTCTCAATGATGTACTTCTTCAGGGCTGCGATGGGATCTCTCATGGCATAGCGCGCCTTCTCATCTGCCAGTTAGGAACCAAAGAAATTTGAAACAGAGTACATCACTAATTCACTCAGAAACCAATCCGACTCGTAAGTCCAGAAACTCAATCATTTAACTTCATTCACCGTGCTTTCTCAATAACACAACAACTTCACATAGAAAAGAAAGAACACGGAGCTTAAAACACAAAGGAATTTCAAGATTAGACCAGTAAAACACATGAATGCAGGTTGTTTTATGTTTAATCAATGCCTACTAGCTCAATCAAAAGAACGGATTCGGGTTCTATACATGAATTATCAATTTGAATCAAACAAAAAAAACAATAACGAGAATTAGAAATTCACAGAACATAAAAATAACAGTCATTAATAAGCAAGGAGCTAACCAGGGTCACGAAGCTCATCAGGGTCAGCCAGCGAGTGTCCTCTGAACCTATACGTCTCACATTCGACCAATGTTGGACCTTCTCCTCTCCTCGCCCGAGCAATCGCATCCTTAGCCACTTCCCTCACCTTCAAAACATCCATCCCGTCGACATGAACACCAGGCATCCCAAAAGCTGGTCCTTTCTTATAAATTTGAGGATCAGAAGTAGACCTCAAATGAGACATCCCAATAGCCCACAAATTGTTCTCAACAACAAACACAATGGGCAACTTCCACAACGCCGCCATGTTCAAACACTCAAAGAACTGGCCATTATTGCAAGTTCCATCCCCAAAGAACGCCAAGGTTACATGATCACAATCTGCTTCTTTCAAAACCTCTCTCTTGTACTTGGAGGTAAAAGCTGCCCCCGTCGCGACGGGAATCCCTTCACCAATAAAGGCAAACCCACCAAGCAAATTGTGCTCACGAGAAAACATATGCATCGACCCACCTTGGCCGCGGCAGCAGCCGGTGGTCTTACCGAAGAGTTCGCTCATGACGGCGCGTGCAGGGACGCCTTTGCTCAAGGCGTGCACGTGATCGCGGTACGTGCTGACGACAGAATCTTGTAGCTTCAAGAGTTTAATGAAACCAGTTGAAACAGCTTCTTGGCCGTTGTAGAGATGAACGAAACCAAACATTTTTCCCCTGTAGTACATCTGAGCACACATGTCTTCAAATGCCCGTCCCAGTACCATATCTTCGTACAATTCCAATCCTTCCTCTTTCGTAATTAACTGAAAAAAAGTAAAAAAAAAAAAGAAGAAAAATCTCAGATTTGTTAAGGAACAAAAAACTCAGTTAAGTAGTAAACAGAGAGAAAAAGAGGGTTACCAGGTTGCGGGTGGATTTGAATTTCTTCTCCTTGACGGCTTCGGAAACGGCGACGACGGATCCAGATCGACGGTGGAGATTGAAATTGGGGGAAGAAGAGAGGCGGAGTTTGGCGGTGGATCCGAAGAAGGGTGAGGGGGAGAGGGAGGATACGAGGGTGTTATCGTGAGATCTGAGGAAAGGGGTATTGAGAGGAGTAAAGTTGGCAGTGGGAGCAGAGAAAGCCATCTTCTTTGAGGAAAAGGAGAGAAAATGGGAAAGTATGAGTGAAGAGGGGAAGGAAGAGGATAAAAGATATAATGGAGGCGGAGGATACGATGTTAAGGACTTGCGAGGAAAAGAAAGGAAAGCCACCTAACTTAACGACTCATAATTTAAGGAGGCATACACTGGGGAATTTATGGTTTTCAAAACCGGATCGGTTAGCGAACTAATTATGTTATCGATTCACTGGTTCAACATGTTGAATCGGTTTGACCGGTCAGAATAATCGGATGACGTCATAATTATTTAAAAAATTAAATAAAAATATCAAAAATATTTAATAAAAAATAATTTTTATATCACAAGTCATATTCAAAGCAAGTCATAACATATATAAGTTAAAAACCATAAAATCAAGTGAAACAAAATGATTCAAATTAACTACAACATAATATTTAAAGTAAAACATATTAAATAATAAATATAATATAACTATAATTAAAAAATAAATTTGGGGTTAAAAAAATCATAACAAAATGATATTGTTTGATTTAATTTTTTTTAAAACAATCCCACATGGTTAAGAAACATATAAGAGCATCCCAAAAGTCTAAAGAGTAAAAATATGAGAACAAAACAATCTCACATTGCTAAGAAACATAGAAGCGCATCACAACTAAATTCTATAAATAATAGAGGTAATTTGGCATTCAAAATCATAGAGCCTTTTGGTGAGCATTAAGTGAACTATTCTTTCACTTCAATTAAGCTCGAATTTTAGGCTTCAATCGAGCTTCTAATTTTTTTTGAGTTTAAGCCTTTTTGAATTCAAGTTTCAATATTATATTTCGAGTTTGAGTTGAACTTGATAATTTTTAGTTTGTGAGTTTGAGTTGAGTTGAGCTTACTTTTAAAGTTTTCAAGTTCGAGTCGAGCTCAGCAATACTCGAGTTCGACTTGGCTCGTTTAACAAACGACGTTGTTTGGTTTAATTTGTTTTTTAAAAAAAAACAAAAATCCCGATTTTTCCCGGTTTTTTCCGGTTTTCAGCCGGTCCGGTTCTGGCCGGTTCACTAATAACGGTTCAACCGATTTAGATTGAACCGGACTAAATAACGGTTCCCGGTTAAACCGGCCGGTCCGGTTTTCAAAACAGAGCTGGGGATGCTGCGTTTGATCGTCAGTTACTTACACCCCGCTGATATCAATAATTTTATTCTAGTTTGGGCCACTGCTGTTGGGATCAATCAGTCCATTGCTCACTGTAGAACCATTGTCTCAGACTTCATTTTTATGGTTTGGAATTGTTTCATTTTAATACTTAAATTTTAGTAAATTCGAATCATTATAAAGCAAATATAGTTGAAATTGATTGGATTCATGTAAGAAACTACCAGGTTTCTTTCCTTGAATACGGTGCCTTTTTCTTGTTTATATATTTTGTTAAAGGTCTTAGTAAAATGGGAGTGATTTTAAATAATTTTTTTTTATAAATTGAATGAAGAGTCATGCTTGATGGTACGAAGAAATAAGAAAAATGATTGAAAAGATTATGAATAATGGATGTAAGATTTCAAGTTCTCCTTGCAATCTTGTTTGTGCAAGTATATATGTCTCCCATATCGAATAGAAGAAAGACTAATGTCAGTCATCAGGTTGATGACTATTGATAGATCAAACTGTCAAACAATGGATTTAGTGATAACAATTATGTTGAGAGACTAAAGGCAAGTAAGGACAAATTGTCACTCTTCCATAAGATAATCTCAAGACCTCCAAAGTTTTTTTATATCACATAATTCACCTTAAGGTAACTTTGTCATTTTCTTTGCTTGGCTATAAGTTTTTAACATGATCTAACAATTCAATTATCAGCTAAATCTATTATCTTACAACCGGATCTATCTATCAACCCATCAATAATTATCAACTTTAGAGCTAACACAAAGCATCATAATGCATTGCATTGTGTTAGGGACATATAAACATGCACATACAAGGCTAAAGAGAGAATCTAAAACCTCCCATCCATTGTTCATCGTCTTCTACAATCCTTTCTTTTCCTTTCTCCATACCACCAACATCTTCTACAATCCTTTCTTTTCCTTTCTCCATACCACCAACTACAGCTCTTCATCTAATTCAAAAAGAATAAACCTTTACTTTCTCCATACCACCAACTACAACTCTTCATCTAATCCAAAAAGAAAGAACAGCATAAGACAATCATCTTCCTAATCATACATTCAACATCATTCAATTAGAATAAAGTATTCCTTAATTTTGCTATAAATGATCTCTATTATTTAATATACAAAAATGTCTAATGTCTTCATAGTAATTAGAAATTACAAGGATCTTTATATTTGATACAAACCCAAATCCATGCATGCCCAACTATGGGGTGGGATCTCAACTCAAAGCAACCGTGACAGATATTAGGTCTTTTCATTTTCAATTCTCAGTGGATGAACGATATCAGAAGCACATAAAATTTAACCAAGACTTGAACGACTGCTTTTTTTTGTTGGACTGGAGATTGGTGGTCAATAGAGCAACAATGGTGGGAGTTGGGCGGTCTGCCCCTGGCAATGGCTGTGACTTCTTATTAGGAGGAGCTGATCCTGCGTTTGCAGATCACCTAATGCTTTTGTCCATTATTCTCTGTTTTTCTCAAAAGAATCTTTATATGAATTTTAGGTACACATACCCGATTCTAACCTAAACAACAAGTTAGTCGAGCTAAATCTATTGCCCGTGACCATTTCCATCCTCAGTCCCATATTAAGCGAGATATATGTTTCCACAATGCTTAAGACAACTCCCTGGTCAACACTATAATTCTTATGTAACATATCATGTAATGTCAACAATAGCATAATGAACTACCAATCAAAATAAAATCATGTATTGCAAGAGATAAATCATGTCAATTCACTAAAATGCAAAGTGAAAAAAGAGGGTCTAAAATACTTCGTATAAATTGGAAAATTCTTCAAAAGGAAAAGCACAACTCATTGTCACTTCATTCAAATCAATACTTATAATTAATCCACAAATACCAATACCAATAAAACTCCAAAAGAGTAACTACCCTCATGCTTAATGATCTAAACCATAATCCACGAAACTGTTAACCGGGTGGAATTCCTAATCAAACAAACCAAATCCCAAGTCATCATCACTCTCTTCCTCTGGCTCCTCCTGCAAATGATCAAAGAATCACATGTTAGACCAAATGGCGTAAAGAGATCAGATAACTTATTTCAAATTTCTAGTCTCACCTTCTTCTTTTCCTCTGCAGGAGGAGGAGCAGCGGCACCATCTCCACCAGCAGCTGCAACTGGTGCAGCAGCAGCAACCGGAGCACCACCACCAGCTCCAACATTGGTTATGAGATTCTCAATGTCACACTTCTCAAAAAGCTTAGCAAACAAGCTTGGCCAATAAGACTCAACATTAACACTTGCAGCTTTAACAAGTGTGGCAATCTTCTCAGCCTATTAATAACAGTTAAAGAAACAGAAAAGAGAAACTTTCTCCCCATACAAATGGAGAATCCTCAACAAAAATAATCGAACTCCTTTTTTTCAATAACCCTATGAGAGATATCAAAAAATAATTCCAAAGCATAAAGCATAGAACCCTAAAATATTTGCATAAAAAGGATACGGTGATGGGGATGCCATCATCATGGAGAATCAAAGCAGCATAAGAGCAAGCAGCTTCACTAACAGAAGACATCGTTTATGCTATCGACATCAAATCAAAACCCAATCAACACAAGGGTTAAGACAAGTAATGAAAAAACTAAATTTCCAAAGAAACAAACAAGGAAAGGCAGAGACTTTACCTGAAAGATGAAATCTTGAAGCGCCGCTCTCAAAGCAAGTTCTGGTAGGGTTTCTCTTCGGCTTTGATGAAAAAAGGGGTCTTAAACTAAGAAAAAAGTAAATTGGGCCCTCCGTTTTTGGAGGCCCATTTAACAAAACAAATAAAATCATGGTGGTTGTGAACAAAGTGGCAGTACATAACATTATTTATTTTATATTTATTTTGGAAAAAGTTATATATAACATTAAGAAAAACAACAGCAGGTAAAAGACCAACAGCAACAACAAACATATCACCGATAAATTAAAGAACGTGATACACGGTTGCACGAGTGCTGGAGGAAGGCCAGCGGGAGAAAAATATAAATGCTTTTTGGTTTGATTCCTTTTTTTTCCAATTTGTCATTTACCCTTTTTTTAACCACTCTATATTTGGCTTCGGTGGTGGTTCTGGTTTTCTTTTTCTTCTTGGTTGGGATTCTAAAGCCATTTTCTTTAATTTTCCTCTGTTTTATTTGGGAGATTCCTCTGTTTTTTTTACATGTCTCAACAAAGGCAATTCCAGATGGTGAGTGGTAACAACAACAATCCAGGAGCAGGGCAGTACAGTGACACGACTTTTACGAAAATCTTTGTTGGTGGATTGGCTTGGGAAACACAAAGAGATACCATGAAGCGTTATTTTGAGCAATTTGGAGAGATTGTTGAAGCTGTTGTTATCACAGACAAGAATACCGGGAGATCCAAGGGTTATGGCTTTGTAAGCTTATTGATCCCTTCTGTTAATATATAAAAAAAGCAAATAAAAAATGATTTATCTTTTTATTATTTTTGGTTTCCAGGTTACCTTTAAGGATCCAGATGCAACCATGAGAGCATGTGAAAACCCTTCTCCTACCATCGATGGAAGGAGGGCGAATTGCAACCTCGCTTCATTGGGTGCACAGAAGACTCGTCCACTAACTCCTCAACATGGTTTCTTTCTCTTTCTTTCTTCTTTTTTCTCTTTCTAGTAACATTGGTTCTGGTGAAGATTCACTTCAATATTTGGGTGATGAAAAGAAGTTATTATTTTGATAATGATATTTCAAATGTTCAAAATCCCTTTTTGTTCTCCTTTGTTCATTCTCAAGATGTTTTTTTTACTATATTGGGAAAACATTTCGTGTTGGTTTGTGTTGCACAATGTGCCTGGTATAATGAAAATGTGGATCTAAAACAGATTGTTTGGAAACAAATGCAGGAGGTGGACGGTTTATACCAGCACCTAGATTGATGGCATCGCCTGTGTATCACGGTTCCTCATCAGCATTCATCCAACAACCAAATGGTCAATACTCAATTCCTTACTCTGCTTACGGGTGAGTTTAATTATTCTAGAACTGAATTCGATTTGAATCCCTAAGCTTGATTTCGCGGATTGTTTCCTTTTAACATGCATTTTAGTACTCTTTGTTTCATTTGTTTTCTTCCATCATCTTCATTCTCTGATTGTTTACTTTCAGGTATACGGGGTATTCACAGGACGGTATTTATCCTTTGGTTAGTGTTTAGACTTTAGAAACAGAGATTGAGCATAAGAAACGATGTACACAACTTCCTTGACGTTACTTTGGTTAGCTAAATTTCCATGGTGTTTTTGCAGAACTATTATAGTTTGTATGGAGGTCAGCAGTTTTCACCTTACTACGCTACTGGAACATCGATGACACCGGGAATGTTTCATAATTTGTATCCATTTTATGCTCAACATGGACAAAATAGCCAAGCTCATGGTTTTGGTGTCCAATATCCTCATATGTTGAAATATCCTTATTTGCCTCATCAGTATAGCTCAACCGGGATCTTTTCGCTTCCGTCTTCATTGCCTATGGCAGAAACTTCCACAGGTGATAATTTTACACAATCTCTTGATAGATTCGGAGTATGTTTGCAATAGTTTTGAATCGGTTTATCTCTTGGTTTGTAATACTTATTGCAAGGGAACTTTAATGCAACCTCAAGTGTTAATCTTCAAACAAAATTTGCAGCAACAACTACAGAAACGACAACTGCAACAAAAACTACAGCATCTGCAACATCGACAACACCACCAATGTCATCATCGGAGACAGAAAAAACATTGTCAATAACAGAACCACTAACCACAGCAACTATAGCACCAACTGGGGTGGTCGAAGCGGAGACAGGTCCTTCACAAGCTTCTGGGACACCTACTGAAAAGAAACCCTCAAGTTAATCTGTATTCTGGGACATGGTGACTTACAGTAGACGGTCCATATCTTTTGAAAGGGAAGCAAAGTTAGAGATAACAGAAAGAATCGAATAACAAAGAATATATCAAAGTTATTGATTCAAAAGAAGGATGCTTCATGCCTTCTTACCTAGCATAACAGGAAATGACTCTCAAGAATTTCAGTAGGGGATTGTCGATTCATGGGAAGGGCATTTTAGATGTAAAGCTCGCTCCACTAACTGTTAGTCATTCTCCATTCAAGTCACCGATTCATCGTATACATGTCTGGTCTAGGACGGTAGGGAGAGTCTGAATTAGTTGTTGTTTAGCATTAGGAGAAGAAATCATATTCATTCATGTATGTATGTATGTGCACAAGGTGGAAACTAAATATTGGCTTTGGATTCTACCTTAAGACACAAATTATTAGATGATTTTGTCTCGGTTGCAAAGAGCATCCGATGACAGTCTTGTTCATATTTGTAAAGCGGTTCAGATTGATTTTGTATCTTCGAACCCAAATTCGATTTTATCGGTCAAGTAAAAGGGCGAGCTCGGATAGCTCACCCATGAACTTATATTATATCTGTCTTTTGGCTTTCATCTTTGGGGTATTTGAACGGATGCATGTGTTTAGACAATGGAAGCCAAGGGGGGTGTTCAATGGTGGAAGGGTATACCTTTACTTGTTTCAGAGTCGAGCATGCAGCTTGTACAATGTCATGGCTTCTGAATTCTGACATGTGATCCCTCCAATTCATTAAAAAGCCTGGAAAAAAGTTTCTTCTATAGAAATGGTGGCAAATTAAATCCAACAGTGTTCATAATAATAATATGTATGAGCTTGCATTGCTTGACAACCATAACTTGGCTGTCTTCAACCTTCTACTCTTTATTATTTGCATGTTCTGTTTCTACCATTTGTGGGTTCTTTTTTTCTTTCCCGTTCCATTCATATGCTGCATAATTGAAGATTTGAAAGAAAAGAGAGGGAGATTACTAATGTTTTGTCGATTGTCCATCAAAATAAACACAACCTAACTTCATCTAAACATTATCCACTGACATGCCTTCCCATTTTGAGACAATGGTCCCCTCTAACACCAATGACTTCATTTTTTTTTTTTGCATTCCAAGTTGTCAGCCATTATCATGCTAAAATGGTAAGGATGAATGATGACAAGTGTAAAGCAAAAAAAAAAAAATTGTTATAAAGATTACTTTTATCATAAATTTCTTTTTCATATAATTTTTAAATTACACTTGTTCGTTAAAGTATTTAATTTATAAATTATCTTATATTTAAAAATAATGTGATCTTAATGGTAAAAGAAAATATTATTTTTCTAAAGAACTCGAATTCAAAAAAATCAAAAAATATTATCTTATAATCTCTTCATACTATTCAAAAAAATATTTGAACTTATAATTTATAAAATGTCGAAACTATAATGATAATGATTGTTGAAACGCCCTGGTTCTTGGGTTAGTAGTTTTGGGTAAAAACCGAGTGAGTTTAAATGGATTAAGGAAACCATTTAAGAGTTTTGGGTCAATGCATAGTTGTTTGAGTTGGGCTTGAACCCAATAAAACTCGACTCGACTCGAAAAAATTTGGGACAATACATAGTTGTTTGTAATTTCATAAACTCGACTCAAAAAAATTTAAAGTTCAATTTGAGTTATAAAATACAACCCAAATAACTCAAAATTTTTAGTAATTAGTGGATTAATTTTTAAGTTTAAGTCGAGTCCCTCAATTCTATATATATATATATCACTATAAAAGAATATTCATGTATTGTAATTTTTTATAAAAAAATACACATTAATGGATTGTTATATATATGTATTACATATGATCATAAAACAACCATTTAAATTGTAATCAAGTAATATTATAATATTTTAAATATTTATAATTAAATTTAAATAGAAATTCAAAAATTTGACACGACTCGAATTTTACAAACTCTACTCGATTTGAAAAAATTTCAAATCAACTCCTAATTATAAAATAACACTCGTTAACTCAAATAACTAGAAACATTCACCCCTAACTACAGTACCAGACCAACGGCTTTGGATTGTCTTGATATTGGAGTTTGGTCAAACCTCTTTCTTTTCTTAATTTTTTTACTGTTTAAAAATCTAGGATAAATTATTTATTTGGTCACTTATCTATTCTCATATTTTTATTTTGGTGGCTCAGTGATTTTTTAAGGCTTAATTTAACAATAAGTATCCAAATATACCATTCTTTTAAAATAGTTCGATTCATAACTTTCGTTAAAAATTCTATTAAGTGATACATTTCATGTTGCAGTAATTTTGAGATTTTTATTTAAAACAAAAAATATAAAATATATTTAAAAAATAATTTTTCCAATCTTTAAAAAACTCCAAAACTTAAAAAAAACTAATTTTAATCTTTATACTCACACCTCCCGCCTTTGTCGTCGTCGTTGTCATCGACATGACCTAACCTCGACCGTGCCCCCACCCAAGGGCCAACCACGATGAACCTCAAATTATGTTTTGAACCCGTCGACGGTAAATAAAAAAGTGACCTTTTCATGATTCTACGGGTCTTGATCGTGCGATTGACAATAAAGAAGACTACAGTAAAAAAGAGATGGAAATGGCAACGCTGACACCGTGTTGTCATTGGCAAGAGAGAAATAAGGGTTAGGGTTAGAGATTTGGAGATGTCTTTATGTTTTTTTTTAACTTTAGATAAATTAAGATTTTTTTAATAAAAACATAATAAAATTCTTGTGTATTTTTTTATAAATTACCAGAACATAATGTGTCACTTAACGAAATTTTTTAATGACGATTACAACTTATGCACCT